CCATCTCAATGAACTTGTGATCGTCTCTTGAAAACCCAACTTGTTCGTTTTTGGTACACTCAAGAAAATCAACCTTGAATTGTTGTTGCCAAAGCTCTCCCAAGTTTGAAACTGAAATCCTGTTAACTGTAACATCAGGATACTCAAAGGCAGACTGGTCACCACCATCTCCTCTTAGTGGACCATTTACGGTCCATCCCAACCTGGTCTTAATTGCATATGGTCCATTATTGACACTGCAGATCACTTGAATTGGCTCCATAACCCTTGGGGCGTTGATAAGCAATTCAACCTCAGAGTCAATTTCAGGTAGAGTCACATGTTTCAGATGTGGCCATCTCTTTAGATCCTTTTGTCTTGGGATGTTTCCACTATGCACAGGCATGGTATTTTGTGTATAGGCATCAGGCAACTCCCAAAAGTCATCTTTGTTCAAACCAGCCACCTCTAATCCAGAAACAACATGGGTAGTTGTGACTTTCTCCTGTCCCATAGTACGCAAGAGAATATTAGTCTTTTTACCTGAAAGACCAAGTCTGTTCATCAGTGCAGGTGTACAAAATACTGCAGTGCTACCTTGATCCAGAAAAGCATAAGTAATCGCAGTCTTATTTCCTTTTTTAGATTTCACTTGTACTCTATGGAAAGTTTACATTCAAATTCACCAGCCCCAATAAATCCACTGGACTCAACAGATTCCGGAACACTGCCCATTACAGTGTCCATTTGTCTCCTGATGGGTTTTGAATCGATCTCCTTTTCTCTTGGGTAGATGTGAAGTATACTTGGGTGCCTAAGATTACACACTTTACATGAAAGGCGATTTCTACAATCTCTACTGATGTGCCCTGTGCACATACAGCCAAAACAAACACCATTCTCTTTTAAGAACGTAATCTTCTCACCATGACTCCTCTTTTCCAATAGAGGGCACATATCCAGAGCATGTCCACGTCTACAAAACAAACAACTCTTGTTGCTGGGTGAAACGATATCTTTTTTGCTGGTTCCAATTTCTGATTTATTTTCCATTGCTGTAACGGTAGTAGCAAAACTGCTTCTTTTAGATTTAAAGCTGCCGTCGGCAACATTTTTTTGATCATATTCAGTGAAATCGACACTATAATCTGACAGAACAACATAAATAAAGTGGTTTTAGAAAAAAACCCGAGCTTCTAACTCCACCTGGAGCGTGTTATTTGTTTTGCAAAAATCCATAGCTCCCGGTTCATCATGTCCAATCAGCGTAGGGGGGTGTGAGATCTGACTGTCAATCACAGATCGGGCACACGACACGCCACCCCTCGCGCACGTTACAATCACATGCACACGCCTGAAGTTCGCGGAAGTTCGCGCAGTAACGAAGAGTGATGGCGGAAAATCAAGTAAGCTCATTTAGAGTATAAATGACGTTAGCAATTGCAATCTATCGGTAGATTAGCCAGGACAGCATACCTCCAAATACTCCATGGTGTTGATGGATGCTGATGAGACGGGCGCGTTCACTGAAAATCTGGTGCACACGCACTGACGAGCATGAACTCGGTCACGGTGGGAGGGTATCCGTTGATAGTGGGGGAGGGGCATGAGAGTTGTAAACATTCAAAATTTTCCTAAATCCACTCAATCTGCCAGACTTGCCGACTGGAGCTTTAAGATAAGACTGAGACTTGCCTTTGTTCAACAATTTACTTCCTGTTAATGCTGGACCATGCTGTATGTCTCCGAAAACTGGATCAGTCATTATTTTTACTTGTCTTTCAACAAAGTTAACAATGTCGCTGAAGGTAGCTCTTTGATTGACAGCTTCCTGCAATTCACAGACTTCAGATCTCCATTTTTCCCTCAATTTGTATGGTAATTTCTTCACTACAGTCAACATATTAGAGGGCGTATCCAACTCGTGAAAATACTGAATATCTTCCATGGAGTTACAACAGCTTCTTAGGAACAGACTGTAATCCTGTAAAGCTCTGACATCTTCACTTTTGATATTTGCCCATAAAAGAGCCTTTTCCATATAGGTAGATGCAATTATATACTGGTCACCAAAATGCTCTTGTAGTAAACCTTTGGCCCTTAAATACCCACGGTCGGCAGGCATATGCTGGCAACTTTTTATAATCTCTTTTGGATGACCCCTGGTATACTGTTCAAGAAAGTATAAGCGATCGCTAGGGCTTTCAGTTTTACGCTCCACACCACTTTCAAAGGATTTCATGAAGGCATGATATTGCAGAGGGTTTCCATCAAACACTTGAATTTCCCTTTTAGGCAAAGATGACAAACACTGTTGTTGAATCAGTAAAGATGTAATTTCATTTTGTTTATCCATAATATGGAGAACTTGATCAGTATTTCCTGGACCGGCATTCACATAACCACTCGGAATTGTTTTACTTAACTTTGAGATGTTCTGGGAATAAATTGTCTGAGAAACGTTCCCCTTGTTTGCCTTGGCACCTGCATTGCCACCATCCTTAGAAGAAACAATTTGTTGCGTCTCAGCTGTAGGAGTAAATGAATTTGCATCAGCATTAAGTGTCTGTGTTGCCTGTTGTCCTTTATCAAAATAGGAATTCATTCCATCGGACCGATGAGTCACATCACTTTTAACACGATGCACACTAGAACCTTTAAGCACTTTCACTTTTGCAATAGTTGCAGCAATCTCCATTCGCAACTCAAAATCCTCTTTCTGTTTCCTTAAGTTCTGTTCCTTTTCTTCAATTGCATGTTTTTCCTTCATTAAATTTTGGCGTACCAACAAAGCTGCAATATCAGCCTCTGCCTTAATGCGGGCCGAAGTTGTTGTTGATGTAGTTGAACGTCCTGTGGCAGAATTGCGTTGACTTGATCCTTGACTTGATCCTTTACTTCCAAAGTATCTAACGTATCCAAATACTGTCACTTGGCTTTATATCATCTTGATTATGCATGGATTTGAGACATATTCTGTTTTTTTGAATCATTCAACTGTTGCCAACTGTTGATCCTGGTTATCGTCACTTGACTTCTCAATTCCATTTATCCATTGATTTGTCTCTTTTATAAATGCCTCACAGTGTTTATAAATGTTTGAGAACCACTCATTTTGTTTGATTTGCTCGTCAGCAGGCAATAATGGGATCACTGAATCATGAAGCTTGACTGTCTCTTTAAAAGTTTGCACCAGTTTCAAGTTCAGACTGTACAGCTGGAACGTTCTCATTTTTCAGCATGAGTTCTTTGATGGCTGGCATTGAACTTTTAATCACATTTACATTTCTTTTTCGTTCTTTCTGAAGCTGCTCAAGTTTATAAGCCAAAGCCTTTGCTGTGAGTTGAACTTTTCTTTTAAATGTGTCCTTTTCAGGTTCAACATCGGCACCCGTTTCAATCTCACTCATGATTGAAGCACGCACACCTCAGCGCGTCTGAATACGATACATTTAGACGCTTCCCAAAACAAGCGAACACAATCCAAAACAACGCATATCATCGGATATGTCTCACAACTCCAATAGATTCGCAAAAGCCCAACAATCTAAACAACGATCCATCAAACACACCAACAGCGCTGCATCAGTCGTAAACAAACCGCAAACTGCCAGACCATTTCAAATCATCCGCGAACACAAGCAAAGACGTAACAACCCAATGTCCTACGAGTTCAACAGCAGCAAACATATCCGAAGACGTCGGTCCTGTTGCTTTGAACGTCCAATTGTTCGATGATTGTTAGCAGCAAACATATCCAAAGACGTCTGTCCTGTTGCGTTAAAAGTTCAATGTGCAATAATCCTCATTAAAACAAGCGAGAGCAGGGCGATTCTCCGTCAGTCAGCGCTGCGCTTCCAATCCTTTCCGTCCAGTAAAAGCGCGAGGGCCTCTTCCTTGAATCCAAAGTCGACACGTTCACGTTCTCAAACAAACAATTTTGTTGACTAACTTGTAGCGGCACATAAAAACAATCCTAAAACCGCTAAGGAGCTGAGTGGAGGAATAACTTCTGTGACGCGTTTATCCTTGAAGCTTGCATGTTGTTTTGTTGTATAAACAACATGTATGTGTATACTACAGTAAGTATGTGTATACTTACTGTAGTATACTTACTAATGTACATACTGCAGAAACAGTAAGAGTATATGGTAGTATAATTTTGCAAACAGCCATTGTTCAATATAAATGTGTTGGTCCATAGTACCTGTTGGGATGGTTACAACAACATTAAGTTGAATATTGTTAGTCTAAGATGTCACATTCTGTGGTAAATGTGAGTGAAAAAACAACCACTATCTCTGCCAGTAGCCACCAATTGCTGTTAGACTGAGTATCCTGTTAAGGACATGAAATTATCTTTGTTTTCAAAATGTTTTGACTAATCATGTTGAGATTACACACATATGAAAAATGTTCAATTCAACTTTTTTTTGTTAGGACAATGATTTTTTCAGACCAGACTCATTAGAAAAACGAATTGTGGCAACATTTTTGCAAAAAGCAAAATACGTTGCGTCGTGCACGTTTCATGACATTTTTAAAGTGAAATGTCTAGTGAGTGGCGTTAAAAGCGTGCTTAGTTTTTCCGGAACAGATGAACGTGTATATGGCAATGTTTTATTACAATGTTTGGAGTTTGTACCGTACGTATTAGGGATGGGAAGATTAACCGATATGTATCGATACGCGGTCATGCGCGTGCACGATGCGAGTGCATCGGTAGAGCAGCAGAGGATTAATTAAATTTTGGAAGCAAATCGAGATGCATCGGTTTTTGCGAGATGCATCGGTTTTTCCGAGATACAGCTTATCCTTTTAATACAGAATGTATTTCTTTATTTATTTAAGTTTTGTGAACTTGTTTTTGGCACATAATTTAATCGACCTACATAAAGTAGGCCTAAGCAACGGACTTTGCGGGTGTGTACACTATAACTCAATGTATCAGCTGCGCGGATGAAGCCAGTGATGCGCCCAAAGGTAGTTGTCGGGAAGCGCGAGGAGTAAGCAAAACAAACATGTCGGATGCCGAGATAATTTATCCTCCACTGAGTTTTAAATCTAAAGTTTGGAAACACTATGGATTTTACAAGAAAGACGGACGACTTGACAAGACAAATGCAATTTGTAAATTGTGCCGCGCATCTGTAAAATACACGGGCAGTACGACTAATCTGATATCTCACTTGAAGCGGCGCCACGGTGTTGTTGTGGAGGAAGCATCTGCCAGTGCCCCTGCATCCTGCTCTGATTCACCTGTAGCTACCAGCTCCAAAAGTGGTGAGAAAAGTATTGAAGGTTTTTTCCATGCACCGCTTGCTAACAATTCCGCGCGCTCCACGGCAATAACAGATGCTATTGCATTGTTCATCTGCAAAGATATTCAGCCCTATAGTGTCACGGAGAACGAAGGTTTTAAACACCTCCTCCATGTTTTGGAGCCTCGTTATAAGATACCAAACCGAAAGCTATTCTCCGATAAACAGATTCCTGCTCTGTACGACAAAGTCAGAAGAGAGATAGAGGAGTCTTTGCACAAAGCCCAAAGAGTTGCTTTAACAGTGGACGGTTGGACATCTTGCGCTACAGCATCATATGTAACGGTCACAGCACACTACATAGATGACGGGTGGATTCTCAAAAACCACGTTTTGCAGACCAGAGTGTTCAACGAGGCTCACACAGGGAATAATCTAGCCGTTTTACTTCAGGATGTTTGCCGCGAGTGGAAGATCGAAGAGAAGAGCCCCGCGTTAGTCACAGATAACGCCAGAAACATGATCCTGGCTGGTGCTGGTGCCAAAATGGACCCACACGTGAGATGCATCGCCCACACATTGAACTTGGCATCTCAAAAAGCCTTTAAGGTGGACAGTGTCTCTGTGCTGGTGGTGAAAGTTAGGAAGCTTGTCACCTTTTTCCACAAAAGCCCCAAGGCAACTGAAGTTCTGCGTGAAATACAGACCCAGTTACACCTGCCCAACCACAAGCTCATCCATGACGTTTCCACCAGATGGAACAGTACCCTCGACATGTTGGAGCGTTTCTGGGAGCAGCAGCCTGCTGTGCTGAACAACCTGCTATCCAGGAAGATAAAGAGGCGTGAGGCTATGGCCAGTTTGACAGAAGATGACATGACACTGATCCCAGAGATCATCAAATTAATGTCACCACTGAAAGTGGCAACCACACTCCTCAGTGAGGAAAAAAATCCCACCATCTCCATTATCTCTCCAGTCCAAGCCAAATTGCAGAGACAATTCCAACCAGATGAGAGTGATCTAGAGGTTATTTCCCATATGAAAGACAGATTCAGGCAGGACTTTGATGGCCGTTATACATATCTTGAAGGCACTCTCCACTGTGCCTCAGCACTTGACCCCCGTTTTAAAGACCTGGCTTTTCTGGATGACAGTGATGCCAAGGATATGGTATTCATGAAGATAACAACAGAGGTGGTACAGATGAATGGAGAGGTAAGAACATTTAAAGTAAGATTGTTATTGCAGTTTAGAACTAATAATATATGATTTGAATAATATGAATAATATATGCATTATTTTACATGTTTATGCATTTTTAAGGAAGAGGTCAGTGACACAGCAATGCCGAATGAAGACCAGGCAACAGGCACATTGGAAGAGGACCAGACAGCTGAAACAGAAGGCGACAAAAGCCCTTCCAACGAGGACAAGACAGGTTGGTTTAAATGGAGACAATGCCAAAAATGTACAGAAATATGTAGTGAAGATTCAATATAGTGAACTAATTTTCAGATTGTAAATTAAAGTAATATTTTTAGCACAACTGATGAGCCTCCTCTGCCCTCTTCTGTAGATGATGCCCCTCCAAAGAAAAAGACTGCCATGGACCAGATGTTTGGAGATTTCCTGAGTGCAAGAACACCAGCAAAGACCATCAGGGAGAAAGCTAAGGATGAAATCTTAAAATATAGAGAAAGGGACACTTTAGGTTTGGATGGGGATGTGTTGCAGTGGTGGAGACTGCAAGTAGATCTTCCACTACTATCAGCTTTAGCAAAGAGATATCTGTCCATCCCAGCAACAAGCGTACCAGCTGAAAGAGTTTTCAGCACAGCTGGAGATATAGTTACAGCTCAGCGTAGCTTGCTTCACCCTGATCATGTTGATCAGTTGATATTTCTGAAGAAAAACCTTTAACTGAAGGTGACTGACCGATGTGCACTATTCTAAAAAGCATTTTTTTTTATTTAGAATTTTATTTAATTTTTATTTAATTTTATTTTATTAGCCTGTTGTTTACAGTGACAGTGATGTTTCAAAGTAAAAGCAGCATAACACTGCTAGTTCACAACGTTAACTTTTGAATATTCAGTGGCAAAACATCTTTGTAAAACTTATTTTCATAGTTGAAAACTGAAATCACAATTCTTGTTGTGCAATGGTAAGCCTTCTTTCTGTTGAAAGAGTGCAAATATTTTTTTTTAGTATGCATTGCACTTATACCTTCTGTTTATCTTGGAAATACTTAAATAATATGTGCCATGTGTTCTAAAATGGCCCTCTACTGTAAACCGACACTCAGGCTCTGAGAGAAAAGCCAGTTTGTAAAAAAGTCTTGGTTTTACTTGGTTAATAAATAATCAAACTCATTCAATGGCACCGCATCCTCTTTCACATCACCACATAAACTTGATCTAATTAGCTAGTGCTGAAGTATCGCATCGTATCGTGATAAGACTGTAAATCGTATCGTATTGCATCGCAAAATGCTACACATGTATCGTTAATATATCGGATCGGATACTTTGTATCGAGATGCATATCGGATCGGCATTATACCTTAGATGCCCAACCCTAGTACGTATCATTGAACTTGCGCTAAAATCTCAATGCTCCATTTTAAAATAATGTACACCTACACTAAACCTACCCAATAGTGTTAACAAAAGCAAATGTGAGATAAAAACGCAATCACGCAATTTTAGCTTGTTTTGAACTCTTGTTTTTGAGCTCTTTTATTGTGACCCGTCTTTCACGGGATTCGTACCCGTGATTTGTATCCGCATTACAAGTAGCTACAATTCTGTACCAGCTGAGCTATCGAGCAAACTTATAGTATGTCAGTAAAACATATGAAGCTGGTTAAGTGATGAAAATTCATCATGCACTATGGTAAAAATCGAGGTCATAACATAATTGTGCAAGGAGACGCGTGAAACAAGTCTTTATTAATTCATAATCTGCCCCTGTAATCATAATTGTGCATGAAAACGATTTAAAAGTGCTTGCTGTTTTACTGCCTCCAGTGTTCATTTCTGTTGGAAACTGCAGTGATATAGGCTACGTATTGGTACTTATGTTGCCTCAGGTACGTTTTTCCAATGAGCCTATGTTGTGATTTTTCTGTGTGTGTGTGTGTGTGTGTGTGTGTGAAATCAGGCCTTTCTCATTAGGCCTCAGCAGGCCATTCCTAAACCATACTGTCAACAGAAAGCCACAATTTACAATTCCTAATCAAGATTTATCAAGGCTGACACTTTGTGGTCAAAGAATGCCACCTCTTGCATTTGCCTGTATGATTGAGTGAGTGAGGCTGAACTGTCAGGTGGAATTCATCCTTTAGTTCAAACCACAGAATGAAGAGCACTGTCTCGAGTGCCATATCCTAAATAATGAATGTTTCTATTTGTGAATGCTCACACTAGTGGGCATTAGCGTTGAGTGCAATTGTTCTTCATAAACTCACCCAGATATCCATTATCTTGCTTTACTGTATAAGATTTACGTTCAACCTGAGAGAAAAACGGCATTAGCAGATTTCACCACTCAGGTTATTCTCCTCCCTCTTTGTGAAAGAAGCCTTCGTTTGTTTTTGTTTTTTGACACCTTCTCACTGTCTAAGATGTTCTCTGCCCACTGACTGACATATTACAAATTGGCTCTCCCAAACTGCACAGTTGAACAGATCTAGAAACTCCTAGCTGCAGAAATTATAAACCAAACTTACAATAGTGATGCTTCGCAAAACACTTACCAAATAGAATAATTAAAAAAAATTAAATGATAAATTAATGTACAACATTTATTGCAAAAAAAAAAAAAAAAACACTGTTCATAAGAGTCTGTTCAATTGCGAGATTGCAATTTGGCTTTTTTGACAAAATTTGGCAAAAAACGGCTTTTTAGATTAATTTGTTCAGGAATCGTTCTATGGTTTTGATTCTCCGGAATGAACCAGTTCATAAGAGTCATGATTTGTTTGCAAATCAGAATCTCTATTTATTGCTCTTAATATAAATGTTGAAACAGCAATATTTTTTATATTTATATATAAAATATATATATATATATATTAGGGGTGTAACGGTTCACAAAATTCACGGTTCGGTTCGATACGATACACTTGTGTCACGGTTCGGTTCGGTACGGTTCGGTACGTTTCCCATACAGCAAAAAGAAAGAAATGCCAGAGAAATTTCCTTGATTTTATTCTTTTTTATTATATTTTTATTAAAACTAACATCATAAAGTATGATATTTTTTTACTTTGAGCAATGATGGAGCTATACTTGACTTTTCTTAGGAGCATATAAAACAAAACAGCTCCTTGGACAAAATGAAATGTAATATTGTAGTAGGTTTATTTTAGTTCAGATTAACATTTGAGGGCAGCAATTGTATTCATGATGTCAAAATAAAACTGATGTAATGTTACTTGAAAGCATTATAGCCTCCTATTCCTGCCAAACTTCCATGGTTACAGTTAGTAGTGTTACTAAAGTAAATCCATGGTGAAAATTGCTGATCTGTGGACACTGGATAGTTCATTCATGGCACAATGTTTCTTCCTGGTTTCCACGTCAGCGCTGTTTGATCCGTTAATAACGGAGAAATGGGAATGTTTCTCACTAGATCTCGCAGCGATGTTATTACTTCAGTGGTGAAGTCAAATGCTTTCTTTACTGGATGTCTCAGCGCTGTGTAGTAACAGTGCTGCTTGATTAAGATCGGCTCGCGCTGCATTGGTCCAGACTGATAAACGGTCCGTCAACCACACAATAAACGAGTAGCTCAGTTTCGTTCCGCTTACATTACATTTGCCATTTGATGTTGGGCAATGTTGTGGTCACGCCAGCGTCTCTTACATTATGAGCGCGCTTGCCACGCGCGACGCGCCTACATTTGAAATAACGAAATGTTGGTCGGCAGGAAAAATGGTTCTTAAACGCGCCGTCATTAGAAGCATGCTGCCTTACTTAGCGAGAAGCGCCTTCGTTGGCTCGGCCACGTCAGGAGAATGGGCCCAGGCCGCATTCCCAAGGACCTACTTTACGGCGAGCTGGCAGAGGGCTCCCAACTGACTGGACGTCCATGACTGCGCTAGAAAGATATCTGCAAGAAAGACATCAAGCTGTCTGACATCAACGTGGACACGAGGGAGAGTCGGGCAGAAGACCGCTCCGCCTGGCAGCTTGTTGTCAGACAGGGCGTACAGAAAGCAGAGGAAATCAGAAATAAAAACCTTGCCGTAAAGAGTCAAGAGGAAGGAAAAGCAACTGCAGCCTCAGCAGGCATCGTTTTTCACCTGCAGAAAACGCAGCAGAGATTGCCATTCTAGAATCGGACTCTATATCCACTCGTGAAGGTGCAGATAGAAAATGATATTTAAGAGCTGGTTGGCTATGGCCAGGGATGCGTCACGTCCGGCTCCTTCCCTTTTCTTTTGTTGACAGTAGCCACAGCTTGTCTTTTCCCCTCTCTGGTTCCTTCGGCTTGTTTTAAGTATTCTAAGACTGCTAACCTCTCAGTATCTCAGCTGAACGGCAGTTTATATGAATACCGTATACCCATGCCTGTGAAGGGATAATAGAGCACATTTTCATTTCCCGGATTCTCCCTCTCGTTCATAGCGAGCGATTTGTTTCTGCTATAGTTGCAGTCCCGTTCGCTTCTCTGCTGCCATACTGCGAGAACGCCATATCGTCCAACTAATCAAGGGGATTGTTGCTGTCTGTTGCTTATAGTTTAGTGTATTTTGGGGTTGACGCTCACTGATTTTTTTGGAATAAGGAGAATACAACTATGGGTTTGCTCCGTTCAAGCTTGTCTCCCCTATTGTCTGAATTGAGTTAATTTGTTTTCTTTCTTTTCCTATTGGTTTAATATTTCTATATTGTTTGTGATTTGATTTGATATGACTTTATTATTGTCTGCTCTATGATCATACAGTGATATAATCAAACTGTGATTTATTGTAACTATGTTTTGAAGTTTGTTTTTGATTTCCTTTTCAGTCGCTGGGGTCCCACTGGTGAAGGGTCTCTTGTGGTGGTGGTGCTCCTCCAACGGTTGCCGTGCGACACTTTTTAAGTGTTTTGGTTGTGTGATCTGAGTGCACGGTGGTGTGTGTGTGTGTGTGTGTGTGTGTGAAAGTGTGCTTTTGACTAACTAGCTTTGTGATCACTCCTCCGGTGGTGAACCTCAGCCCTGTAAGTTTGTGTATTTTTTGTGAGTTGTGCAAATATTAGTTACATGTACGTAAAGTATTGTATGTGTCACTTGTTATTTTTGTTTATTTCGAAACCGATGTCAGCCATGCACTTCTAACAAGCCATCAGATGCTGCCTTGTGCAACGGAGGTCATTTTAATGTGATTTTTCTTTTCTATTTAAATGTAACTTTGTATTAATAATTTTTTTTACTTTTTCATGATACCCACGTTTCTGCCTACCTTTTTAAGAGAGTCGAACCTGTGTGACCTAAATTCTTATGTATCACCCCATATTTCCCGGGGTGAAATTCCCATGGGTGGCGTAGTCGAAATTTCATTGTGTCTGAAACCTGTACTACTTGTGCCACACTTGCCTTGCCTTGCCTATTCTAAAATGGAAGAAATACAAAATCAAAAATCCCAAAAAATCTGTTGCTCCATGAAAGATCTCGATTCATGGGGTAAGGATGATCATGAGAAAGGTGAGGGATCAGCCCAGAACTACACGGGAGGAGCTTGTTAATGATCTCAAGGCAGTTGGGACCTAGCCTCGTGAGACCATCCTGATCTCGCGAGCTTTCAAGGTTTCACTCGCAGATCAGTCTGGATACTTTCCGTTAAAGAAAATTTGGGAGCAGTTCACCAAACGAACGTCCAATCAGCGTTGGCTTTGAGGCGGGTTGAGGTGTGACGCAACGAGAAGCGCGTCAGTTCAGTCTAAAGAACATGTCGGCTTCAGCGGATGAAACTAGCATCAGCGTGGCTATCGAGCAAGTTTTATCGGAATTACAGAGTATTTCTTCACTGAAAGAAGAGCAAAACACTGCTCTGGAGACTTTTCTCAGAGGAAAAGATACGCTCTGTTAGTACGTCATATGCTTCGTTGATCTGATTGGTTGATTTGGCCCGTCTATCACCAACATAGGCCAATCAGCTAACCAGTATTTTCGCCCCTTACCAAAACTACTTCAACGGAAGGTTTCCAGATGGATATGCGGAGCAAATCCATCTGGCGGAGTCAGGTTAGTTGGGACCACAGTCACCAAGCAAACCATTGGTAACACACTACGCCGCAATGGATTGAAATCCTGTAGCGCCCTCAAGGTCCCCCTGTTCAAGAAGGCACATGTACAGGCCCGTCTGAAGTTTGCCAACGAACATCTAATGATTCAGAGAAGGCTTGGGAGAAAGTGCTATGATAAGATGAGACCAAAATTTAGCTCTTTGACATCAACTCAACTCACCGTGTTTGAAGGGAGAGAAATGCTGACTATGACCCCAAGAACACCATCCCTACAGTCAACCACGCAGGTGGAAACATTATGCTTTTGAGCTGTTTCTCTGCTAAGGGTACAGGACGACTTCACCGTATTGAGGGGACGGGGCCAATGGACGGGGTCATGTACTGTAAAATCTTGGACGAGAACCTCCTTCCTTCAGCCAGAACTCTGAAGATGGGTTGTGGATGGATCTTCAAGCATGACAATGACCCAAAACATAGTAGCAAAACAAAGTAGTAGCCCAAGAAGACGCACATTAAGGTAATGGAGTGGCCTAGCCAGTCTACCATAATCCTGTAGAAAATCTGTGGAGGGAGCAGAAACTTTGAGTTGCCAAGTGACAGCCAAGAAACCTTAAGGATTTAGAGAGTATCTGTAAAGAGGAGTGGACCAAAATCACTTCTGAGATGTGTGCAAACCTGGTGACCAACTACAAGAAACGTCTTACCTCTGTGCTTGCCAACAAAGGTTTCTCCACAAGTACTAAGGCATGTTTTGCTTGGGGATCAAATACTTATTTCACTCACTGAAATGCAAATTTATAACCTTCATATAATGTGTTTTTTTTTCTGGATTTTTTGGTTCATTTTCTCTCTATCCTTTAAAATAAACCTACCGTAAAAATGATAGACCCTTCATTTCTTTGAAAGTGGGCAAACTTACAAAATCAGCAGGGGATTAAATAATTATTTTCCCCACTGTTTATGTATATATATATATATATATATATATATATATATATAGGCCTATTTTTTTTTATATATCGCCTTTGTGACTCGATGCTAGTTACTATTTAACTTTACTATCATACATATTTCTTACCTAGTACAAAACTTATTTAAGCTAGGCTAAATATTAAAATATTTTTCATGCTTAACGAAAGTGTATGTAATATACCACAGCAAAACTATTTCAACAAGTTGTACACTTTCTGCTTCCCTTATTGACGTAATAACAGATTCCCATATAACAGATGAAGTGGATTAGCTGCAATATTTGTCAAATACACCGACGTTTTATATGTGTTCATGTAGCAACAGAAACACTTTTAATTCAATACATGGATTTCTTGGCAACGTCATCACTGCTTGCGCATGCAACTGGGAGGCAGAAAAATATGTGGTTTCGTGTAGTAGGCAAGTAGCATAGTGGTGGAGTAAAACGTAAACACGCGTAACGTAACTTATATAAAAGCAAATTCGGGCTGTCCAGTAGATGCTGCACTGCTAACATTGGCTATTACATTACTAGCTTAAAGGGGTCATATAATGCCATTTTTGTACAAGCTAATATGATTCTTTAGGGTCTAAATTAAAAGTTTGTAATATACTTTAATTAAAAGTTCTCATTAGTATTGTAAGAAAACACTTATTTTACCTGGTCAAAAACAGCTCTGTTTTCAGCACGCCGTTTCAGTGCATATGACTTTAAATGATAATGAGCTTTGCTCACCCCGCCTCTCTGTTCTGCGCATACACCGTTTGTAACACAATAACACAATAACCATAACGCGTTGTTCATTACAAACGTGGGATTATGAATTATATTGAGAACGTTGTACATAGAAAACATGCTGTAATGTACCCTGAGTGCAAACCGACGCATTCATCGTGAAGCGTGCAGCTGGTGATTTGCAAAGATTAATATAAATATTAATATAAAGATTAATAAAACGTTACACTCACTTTAGTTCTTCTGAAGGTTCAGCAGGAACACGAATAGGTTCCGATCCTTTATTCAGGTGCAGCTTCTCAGCAAAACCAGCTTTACACTGATCCTCGTTTATAAAGCAGTCCACTGAGAAATGATTCGGCAAACATGAAAGCATTGACGTTGCTCGTGGGGAATATTCCCTTCGAAAACAAACTCAGCCACTGCGTCTTCAGCGGTTCGGATTTAGGAACATTAAAATGACTGCTGTGTTCGTTATTGCACCCAAGAACAGAACACCACAATCGCTTAGACGCCATTCTGCTCATAGACAGTGCTCCAGCATATCAACAATGACTGCGCCGATCCGCGCGGACTATGATTGACAGGACGAGCGAGGGCGGGTCTGTGTTGAATCACTGCTGTCAATCAACAATCGTGGGAGGGGCGTCCGTTTTATTGACGTCACAAAAACGAACGGCTCAATTTGAGGCAGGGGAAAACATATAAGGAGATTAAAACAAAAACACTGGATGGATTTTTATCATTATATGATGGTTGTGTACAGGCACTGCCAACACACATTTCAGTACAATCAACTTGTAAAAGTGCATGTACCATTATATGACCGCTTTAACATGATAATTCATACATATATCACAGTAACACTGCAAAATTAAAGACAGACAAACAGATCCAACTAAAATCACATTTTATTGTTATATAAAAACAATACAAACAATAAGGAAAGCTTCAATACTTAAGGTTGTTGCAGTAGTGGACCAGCTCACCAATCTGGCTTTCTGCCTCTGGTAGAAACACACACCCTGTAATGTTTGTAAACAGGAAACCCATGTATACTTTATGTTGGTTACTACTTAATGCAGTGTCTGTATGTTCAAGAATAAAGTTCAACATAAGCCTATGCTATTTGAATACCAATTTTATTTTTGTATAAACATAACACAATATAACATTAACATCATCAGCGAATCCGGCCAAACGTGAAATCAGAGCTTGTGCATCCGCTCTGCAGAAACTGCACAAAGGATTGCTCCCGAAACGCTTTATGTACTATGATGCCATATGTCACAGTGGGTTAGAATTTTTTTTTTAACCAGCATGCACTGCTTTAAAGTCACATACTGATCAGTCCACACAGCGCCAAAGTCTAACACACCTTTCAAGTCTTTAGGA